TCTCCAACGCCATGATATGCCATGTTATGCTATGCGCCGCTGTGCGATACCATCCTTTGCATTGCAACGCTTTGTGATGCAATTCTTCACTACGCAACGCCACGCCATGCTATAACATACTACGCTCTGCCGTGCTCTTCTACGCTCTGCTATCCCGTGCTCTACGATGAATCGCGCACCCTCTCGGGATCTTTGCCCTGCTAGACATCCGACTGTGCAAATAGAGAGGAGATTTACGCCATGGTAAGGGATGGGAGGGAGGGGTAGGACGTCAGATGTGACGCGAGAGCTCCTAGCTTGTCCCCCCCCCCCTCCCCCTCCCGTTCCCCCTCCCCCTGCCCCTCCCCATCCTCCTCCTCCTCATCCTCCCCTTCCTCATCATCATCCTCTTCCTCCTCTTCTTATTATTAGTATTAGTATTTTTCTTCTTCCTCCTCCTTCACCTCGTCCTTCTCCCCCTTCTCCTCCTCCTCCTCCTCCTTCTCCTCCTCCTCCTCCTCCTCTACCACCTCCTCCTCCTTACCCTCCTCCTCCCCATCATCGTCGTAATCATCATCAGCATCATCATCAGCATCACCATCATCAGCATCATCATCATCATCATCAGCATCACCATCCTCCTCCTCCTCCTTCTCCTCATCCTTCTCCTCCTCCTCATCCTCGTCCTCTCATCCGTCCTCCTCTTTCTCCCTCCTCCGAGTGCACCCTCGTCCTCCTTTTTACGCTAGACCAACCTATGCGTGAAGCTGTGGAGTTGGGGGAAAAATAGTCGCGTACACGATTCTGTTCAAAATGAACCTGGCGGGCGCCGCGGAAACAGTTGGAATATGAGGCAGAGACAAGAGTAGCAAAAATAGTAGGCACCCGCCAGGTACTAGACGACGGCAACGACCTTAGGAAGATGTACCTCCCGCCCCCACATCCACAGGAAATAGTAGACCCCATAAGATTCAGTGGTCTGTGCCGCCCCTGTCACAAGTAAAGTGCAGGCGGAGGTTGGGAGCGCACCAGAAACGTGAAACGAAAGATGGTGAGTGCAAGCGTGGCTGCAATTCTTGGGCTGCTACACAGGGTGTTTGGGTGTACTCCTAACCACCTGGACCAGGGGCCGCGTGCTTTTCTGTCTGTTCTTCTCGGGTTTCGCACGAACCCTTCGCGACTTCTTGTTGTAGGCTGGCCCTGCGGGCTCGCCTGTAGGTTGGCCCTGCATGCTGGCCATGTACGCTGGCCTTGCGGGCTGACAACATTTGTTCGTGGGTACTCCTCCTCCACCTCCAACTCCTCCTCCTCCTCCTCCTCCTCCTCCTCCTCCTCTTCCTCCTCCTCCTGCTCCTCCCCCCCCTCCCCCTCCTCCTCCTCCTCCTCTCCTCCTCCTCCTCCTCCTCCTCTTCTCTCCTCCTCCTCCTCCTCCTTCTCCTCCTCCTCCTTTCCTCCTCCTCCTCCTCCTCCTCCCCCTCCTCCTCCTCCTCCACCTCCTCCTCCTTCTCCTCCTCCTCATCATCATCCTCCATTCCTTCTCCATATAAGTAACTTCTCCCTGTCGCACCCCGAGGCCTGTTTTCAGGGCGGGCCGGGCGTTTCGCCAGAGATTTCTTCACCATTTATGATTCCTCTCGCTTCGCGGGGTGCACGTCCGGAGCACGTACAGTCACGTCGCGGGGCCTTCTGGGAGCCTCTTGGGGGCCTCCTGGAGGCCTCTTGGGAGTTTCTTTGGGCCTCTTGGGGACTTTTTCTGGCCTCTTCCCCCCCGTTTTTTGGCTCCCTCCCCATCTTCCCTTCCAGCGCTGGCTCTAATCATGGGCGCCGCCGTGACCAACTTCCACCTGGCTGGCGCTGCGCCGCAGTTCGTCCAGGGGGGGAAATAATATTACACTCCAGTCGCTATGTGGCCTTTGGGGGGCTTCTTTGGGGCCTTTTGGAGGCTTCTTGGGGACTTTTCGGAGGTCTCTGGGGGGCTTTTTGGGGCCATTTGGGGGCCTCTTGGTGGCCTCTTGGGGCCTCTTGGGGGCGTCTTGGGCCGTCTTGGGGCGCTTTCGCGCCGTTTCGCCCCTTCGGAGGCCGTCTTGGGGGCCTCTCGCGGCCGCCTTGGGGCCCTCTTGGGGTCCTCTTGGGCCGTCTCAGGGGTTTCTTGGACCGTCTTGGGGGCCTCTTTGGGCCGTCTTGTGGCCCTCTGGGGCCGTCTTGGGGCCCCCTTGGGTGTTTCTTGGGCCTTCTTGGGGCCATCTTGGAGGCTGCTCGGGCCGTCATGGGCTTCGGAGAGGCGAAAAAGGCGAGAAAGCTAAAATCTTTCAAAAACGTAAGGAAAATCAATGTTTTTGGCCTCTGGAGGCGCTCTTGTGGGCGCTCTTGGAGCCCTCTTGGGCCGTCTTGGGTTCTTTTTGGGCCCTCTTGGGGCCATCTCGGGCCGTCTTAGGGCCGTCTTGGGCCGTCTTGGGGCCATCTGGAGCCGTCTTGGGGCCCGTTGAGACCCCCAAGAGGGCCAATGTGCCGAAATCATTGA